AGCAGGGAGCCCGATGCGGGACTCGATCCCAGGTCCCTGGGATCATGACCTGAGCCGAAGGCAGACGCTTAACCATCTGAGCCACCCAGGCGCCCAGGGGTGAGCCATTTTTTGAGGATGATCTAGTTTAGCAACTCCCTGGGGTTTTTTTTGTAACCAAAGATATTATTACACCAATAACACTATTTTTTCATCTGTCTTGAAAGATTTTTCTCTACAGAACCGTTGGTTAACTAATTATTAATTCATTATGAATTGATTAATATATCAGTAAACACTATATTTAACTGCTTTTTTTCTTATTTATTTATTTTTTTTAAAGCAAGGCAGAGTGCCACCTGCAGCGCCTCATTTGGACGTGTCTGGAGTCTCAGAAGCTTGATTACCCTACGTTCTCCTACAAATGGACCTGGAGAGCTTGTTTGGGGGTCCTAGCAGGGGAGCGCAGCTACTCGTATACCCTTGATGGAAGAACAGTCCTCCCCTATCAGGGAAGGTCGTCCTCTTGGACCAAGCGCGCAGCTTCGGGCAGGGCGCCCGTGGAGCGGTGTGGGAAGAAGGGGACACCTGCCTAGCCAGCCAGATCACAGAACCACCTCAACCGCATCAACCCTGGCAATCAACAGGGTGACAGATGTCGCAGCCAGATCGCCCTCACATCCTAACTGCTAACTAAAGAGTTATGGTCAGCTCAAGATAAACCCTATCATCGTAGTGAGTTAGTACAATTCTAGCCTAAAGCAAAAAGGTGACATTTGAGTTAGTCGGTGAAGTCATGTTCCCACGTAGATCCATTATTAAGTTATCTGAAACAAGGAAACCTACATTCCTACTTTCCTGGACCCCCAAAGACCAGTGACCTGACATTGGGACCCCTGACCTTGCTCCACCCCTCATGTAGGGGAGGATGAGGGACATAGGATAGAGGGGTGGCAGGGTGGGTGTCCTCCCCGGGTACATAGGTTGGGACAGAGCTAATGCGAGAACACAGACTCTGCCCAATAACTGCGATCCAGCACTGCCTCTTCACAGACGACCCAGGCTCAACGCGGTGTCCCTGCACACTGTCCTAGGCGCTTGTGTCCCCATGCTGCCCCACAGCCAGGACTGAGGCCACGGCCACAGTGCAGCCACCAGGCAGGACAAGGAGGTGTGGGCACCCAAACCAGAAAACCTGTCCCCTGGACCCTCCTTCTCCCTCCTTTTTAGATGGCAGAGCAAGTGATGTGCAAGCCAGTGAACCAGGTGCCCAGGCCCGCAGCTCCCAACCACTTCTATGATCTTGGGCAAGTCGCTAAACATCCCTAGGAGCCTCTGGGCGCTCTATGAAATGAGTGCTCAGCCTGGATCATCTTCAACTCGAGCACGAACGCCCTGTGTGTCCGTGAAACTGGCCTGGGGCAAAGAAACAAGTCACCGCCCCTACCACTTCTCCCCGCCTTCCCTAATCTCTGGCCAGCATTAACCCCCCACTCCCCAGCCTCGCTCCATAGCCCTCACCTGCCAGGAAACCCCATTTCTATTTCTTGGAGCCATTAGTTCAAGTAGTTGGTAATAATACTATAAGGTTGGAAACACAAAACAAGATACCGGGTAGATGCTCAGTAAATACCTGCCAAAGTAAATATGGGGGCGCCTGGGGGGCTCAGTCGATTAAGCATCTGACTCTTGATTTTGGCTCAGGTCATGATCCCCTGGTCATGGGATCTGAGCCCCATGTCAGGCTCTACGCTCAGCGGGGAGTCTGCTTGAGATTCTCCTCCCCCTTGGCTGCTCCCCCCCACCTTCAAAATAAATAAATAAATCTTTTTTAAAAATTAAATATGAATAGTGTTATAAGGGTTTTCTATTTTTTTTTAAAAAGATTTTATTTATTAGAGAAAGAGACAGAGAGAGGGAGGGAGGGAAAGAGAGAAAGCACAAGCAGGGGCAGCGGCAGGCAGAGGGAGAAGCAGGCTCCCCGCTGAGCAGGGAGCCCAGCATGGGGCTCGATCCCAGGACCCCGGGACCACGACCTGAGCCGAAGGCAGACGCTTAACCGACTGAGCCACCCAGGCGTCCCTATAAGGGTTTTCTAAACAATAATTATCTTTAAATAGGAATGTTTCTTCTTTTTACCTTTCTGGAATGTTTCAGATTTCACAATAAATGTGTACAATTTCCACAAGAAGAATAAAGGTATTTTCAAAAGGCAAAGATGAATCTGTCCAGTCACAAATAAATTCATATAAATGAATACTTCCATTTGTATGAAAATTCCAAATAGGTAAACCCATAGCCACAGAAAGTAGATTAGTGGTTGCCAAGGGCTGGCAGCAAGAGGGAATAGAGAGTGACTGCTAATGGCTTCAGGCCTTCCTTCTGGAATGACGAAAATGTTCTAAAATCGGTTGTGGCGATGGTTGCACAATTCTATGAATATACTAAAAGCCTCTAATTGTACACATAAAAAGATTAATCTGGCCCCTTCCCACCATACCCCTGCTCATTTTTACTACCAGTGCTGAAAAATAATAAAATTATGTTGCTTTAATTAAAAAAAAAATCAGAGACAAGATCATATTTCTCTGCTCCGATTCTTCAACCGTTCCCATCTCAGAGCAGAGCCTATTAGATGTGAGCCCTGTGACCTCTCTGATCTCTTCTACTCTTCTCCACATCTGTCACTGCCCCACTGTTCTTCAAACAGGCCAGGTGCACTTTCACCCCAGGACTTTGCACTTGCTTTCCCCTCCGTTTGGACTGGTCTTCACCTGATCTCCATCTGTAAGACTCACTCCTTTACCTCCTTCAAGGCTTGGCGCAAATGTCACCTCCTCAGCGCAAGCTTTCCTGGGCACCTTACTTCACCTTTTCAACCCTTCCCCCCATCCCCTACATCTCCAACGACCCAGCATTCCCTACCCCTCGTCCCTGCTTGGCTTCTCACCATTCCACTCCTCACCATCAACATCCCATGCATCTTACTTCCTTGTCTGTAATCTGCCACCCTGCGCTAGAATACATATAACACACAGAATGTGTTCTGTGCTGTATCTAGAACAATGCCTAGCCCAGGAGAGGCCCACAGTAAAATACTGGCTGAATGAATGACTCCTATCAGCAACCAGCATTACACAGAATCATGAAAGACTAGTATATCCTATCTTGTTACACACTCAGATTCCTTGGTCCTACCCATTGCCTCCATTACCCTTCACCATGGCCCTGGGAGGCATCATCCCTATTTCACAGAGGAGGACCCTGAGAACCCCCGGGCCCTCCAGCTCCATGCCAGCCTCCTTCCATTTTACCACATCGCCAGGCAGGAGGCGCCCAGGTAGGCCCTGCCTGCGGTCAAGGCACAGCTCTCCCCACCACGCCTACCTCAAAATGAACTCACCACCTCCATTTTTGTAGCAGAGATAGGGAAACCTCCAGACATTCCCCAGCCCAATGATCTCCCCGGCCACTGACAGCACAAACTCCATCTTGTTGGTCCATTGGCCCCGATCCTTCACCTGGTCCTCGCCTTCCTGTTCCAACTTCTCTCCCTCCTCAGGGAGCCAGGAGACCACGGGAGGCCCGTCCTCGGGGACTGCCACTTTTCTGTCCATGGCGACGTGATGGACCGGGAGGCCGCGGAGCTGGGAGAGGGCAGGATGGTGAGCCTGGTGTGACAAGAAGGGGTGAGCCGTACCACCCCGAAGCGTGCCCTCCACTCCTGTTTTCTCCCTCTTGGCTTTGATTATTGTTGGAATATTGCGGTAACATTTCCCATTGTTGGAATATGGTTTAATATCTTGGGCTGTTGATTTTCTTCCCAAACTCTCCATGACTTTTACACCGAAAGTTACACTTTGCTGTCATGACTTGGAGAACAAATAGGGAGCCAGTCTTCGTTTGCCCATTTTGCAGAGGGGGACATCCAGGCCTTGACCGGTGAAGTGGCTTGCTTACGACCATATAGGAGTAGACTGGGAGGAAAAGGCTCGGGGGTCTTTCATTCTGAGTCCCTTCTTTTTTTATTTTTTTATTTTTTTTAAGATTTTATTTATTTATTTGAGAGACAGAGAGAGAAAGAGCACAAGTCAGGGTAGAGGGGCAGGGGGAGAGGGAAAAGCAGACTCCCCGCTGAGCAGGGAGCCCGATGCGGGGCTCGATCCCAGGACCCTAAGATCATGACCTGAGCCGAAGGCAGACGCCTAACGACTGAGCCACCCAGGCGTCCTCCGAGTCCCTTCTGATATTTACAGCCAGCCACCGTCCCCGCTCGCCCGTCTGCCCAGCTCCACAGTGTCGGGTGAGTGGCACCCGCCCAGCCTCCGGCCTCCAAGCCAGAAGGGATCAAAGCCTGCCAGGGGTGACAGGAGGTCAAAGGGCAGGTGTGGCCCAGGTGACTGCATGGTCTTCTGCTAGCTGGTTGTGTGCTCATTCCTATGCCAGGCAATCGATCAACTCAGGGTAAACATGGGAGCCAGCTAGCTCTGGGCGTCTGATTGGAAGGGAAGGAGAAGGTGGGGCCTCTGAACAAGGCCAGATGAGACCCGGGATTGGTGCCAGGACCAAGTATAGGCCTTCGAGGGAAACCTGGTTCTTCTTCCTTCTCCGTTGTACCTCTGCCCTGAGAACAAGCAAGGGGTCCTGGCGGTCGATCCCAGAGCGATTCTCACTGGGGTGGTGGTCTCCTCAAGGGAGACCCAGACGTGGCTGAGCGCGACAGCAGGTCACTGGCCTTCCTGACTTCCTGTTCTCCTAAAGAGCCCAAAGCTCACTGGACTGCCAGAAAAATGACGTGGTCTCTCTTGGTCTACTCTGTCCCTATCGCTGTCCATTTTTCAACCTCCAGGAGATAAACTGCAGCACTGTGGTGTTGTACCTGGAGTCCTTGTTTGCCTTCCCCCCTCCCCCCCCCACAGCCACCCTGAGGCCACCTTGGCTCCCGAGGAGCTGCCAGGAGGAGGTGATCTGGCCCCAGAGGGAAGCACCCACCCAGCACCCCTCACCTCCGGGGGGCGCTGGGGAAATCAAAGTGACCCTAAGCTACCAAGTGCTCCATGCCCCTCCAAGGCTCTAGAGAAACACAAGGGATTCTTTTTACTAAGTGTCTGTGTTTTTTCGTTGGTCCTTTTAACCCAGGCAACAGCCCAAGCCCAAGTCAGTTAAAAAGGCGTGGCAGGAGCCATTTGAGGTTATGGAAATTTTTGAAGGTGACTTGGAGGACAGGTTATCCCAGGAATGGGAAAGCCTGTCGGGGTTAGATTCTGGTATTGGGACCTACTCAGAGGTTTCCACTGCAAGCTCAGCTCAGGAAGAAAGATGAAGAGAGAAGCGCCTAATGGAAATCAGAGGTCTTCAGCCCCTGATGTAAGGGAGGAGGAGGGAAGGAAGGGAGAGAAGAAGGCTTCCAGGTTCAGAGGAGACCATCAGACCCTAGGAGTGGGGGAGGCTTTGAGAACCAGAGTGTCAGGTTGGAAGAACAGGGCAGTTTGGCCCTGGGGGAAAGAGTTGGTGCTACCTGAACCAACTGTAGATGTTGCTACAGAATTGGGGTTTGGGCACCCTAAGGAGTGGCCCCAGAATCGTTATCAGACAAATGAGTGGATGAATGAATGAATTCAAAAACATTAACGGAAAAAACACCAGGCAGGAAACCTAAGGTCTAGTCCAGACCTAGCCAATAATAATATTAATAAAAGTTAACATTTGACTAATTGTCGCGCCAAAAACCTACACTTCTTCATATGCGTTATTAAATTTCATCCTCATTAAAATCTTTAAAGTAGGTATTACTATTAAGTCCATTTTATCAATGAGGAAATGAAGCTCAGAGAGATGAAGGAACAGGACTTGACACCTTGCAAGTATTCAGTAAAACTATTTTTAAATGATTTGAATGAACTCACCAATACAATAAGCAATGGAGCGGAGTCTCTAACTTGCTGTATGAACTTAGGCAACTCACACGTCCTCTCTGGGCTTTAAGTCTCCCTGGAAGAGAGAATGAGCCATTCAACAGGGGTGCTGGGAGGGTGGGGGATAAAAATAAGATCCATAAAAGACAAGGAGAGATTTTTTGCCTTTGCTTGCCAAGCCATAGTGTAGCTCAGCTCAGGGTGAGCCCAAGCACAAAGGTTTCCAAGGGGGTGGACAGGAGACAAGCCTTCCTGTTCTCAGACCAGAAGCAGCTATGACAGGGCCAAGCTGTCCTCAACAGTGGAAGGAAGAGAGACCTGGTGGGGCCAAGGAGTAAGCGAAGGGAAGACCAGAGGAGAGTGCAGGACTGCGAAGCAAATCTCAGAGCCCAGTTTGGGTGCAGGGTTTGGCTTGTATCGGGATGGGGAAGACAAGAAGAGAACACACACTGATGAGCTGATACTGATGCAACATATTTTTTTTAAAGGTTACTGGAAAGATCATAATTTATGGGTTAGAGTGAAAAAACGGAATGGCAGAATGAAAGCAAGAGCATGTGGAAACGAAAGCTGGCCCCGAGCCATGGTAAATCAAGAAGAAACAGGCCTTCAGTGCAGCAAGTGGTATTCAAGTTAGACTCAGGGAAGAAATGTCGAGGTGGAGGTCAGACATAAACACAGGCTGTACAGAGCTCTCCTGTGGGGGCTCCTTTTCAAAGCCAAAAGGACGGCATGCCCCCCTACCCTCCTTACCCCTAGCCCACTTGCGAGGAATAAACAGTGTTATCCACAGTCAAGATGACTTCCAGAGATCTCCCCCTTCCCGAGATCTCCCCCGTCTCAGCTCTGCCACCTCTCCAGCCCCTAGTGCCCCCTTCCCACCTCTGCTAAGCTGGAGCAGGATACGGGGTCATGCATTGGAGCTCACCACACTTCAGTGCCCTCCAGAAGCCAAGACACCTACATCCACACTGGGCTCAGTGCAGCCCACCAAGAAAATCTTCAAGAGGCTAGCAAGTCCAAAGTTAACCGTTTTCAGGAGCTGGGCATGGGGCTAGGAGGAGGAGGTCTGGTCAGGGTCTAGCAGAGGAGCAGACAGGTGGCGAAATGCCGCTCCCGCCATGCTGCTGGGATCCCAGCTCGGCCCCATCACCCTCCCAGTCCAGCACAGGAATGGCCCAGCCCCGGACCCGGTGGGGGGGGGTGCGGGGGGCGCGGGGGGCACGGGATGCCCCAGGCCCTGCTTCAGCCCACACCCACATACCAGTTCCCCTTTCTGTACACACACTGGTGCCATTCCTGTCACGTCCCTTTGCACACACATACCTGTGTGCATGGCACCAAAACCTGACTCCGGCTAGTCCCTCACAGCCTGGGGGCTGCCGGGTTAGGCTGCTGGCCGCCTGCACCTCCCCACCACTCCCTTGTTGCCCTTCTCTGGCACAAGCATGCTCACGCCTCCCCACAGCCTGAGCTGGGGCAGCTTCCTCCTTCTGGGAGACGCTTGGCTCCCTGCTTGCGCTGCTTGACCCATGGGGGAGGGCAGGAACCCCTCATCTGCATGGCTAATTGCAGGTCATGGGTCTGGAGGGATGCCCAAGGTTTGTCCCGTCTGCTCTTCCTTCCCATCTCCCTGGGTACTGTCTGCTTCCCCTCGTTCCCTCAGCCAGGTGATCACCCCTCCTTCACCTACTCCCTAGGGCCAACCCCCCACCTAGGGTCTTTCCCAGGCTCGTCCCTGAGCAACTTAGAAGCTGTGGGTGGCTTCGGGGAGTCGGGGTGATTCCCCTGGTCCTAAGATGCCCCAACATCAGACTTACCTTCAGCCCCAGTCTTTTGTACCACAGACACACACAATCCTACAAAACCTTGCCTCCCAGGACTCACCCCTCCAGCCCCTCTGAGGCACCCTCTAAGGGACTGCGAAGACACAGCCCGTCCTCTGCTTCCTGCTCACCTCAGTCCGGAGCTCGGCTCCCGTGGTCAGCTCAGCTCCATGCCTCCGGTCCCCGGGACAGTGGCGGGGAAGCCCACACAGCCGGGACCTGAGAGGGGAACCAGCCTCCACCTTTGCTCCTTCTCCTGTTCCTCCCAGCTCAGAATCCCATCCGAGTTGTTGTCCCAGGACTCCCAGACAGAAAGCAGCTCTGTGTGTGTGTGTGTGTGTGTGTGTGCGCGCGCTCACGCACACCAGTGTATTGGGAAGTGAAGGGACAGAGAAATACCACAGCAACAGGAGGGACTGAAGCCAAAAGTTTGTGCACCAGGATTACAACATCCAACCTCAGGAAGCCAAGTCCTCTGTCCCCAGTCCACCACCCCCAGCTCCCTCCCACTGTGGGAGCCCCCCCCCAAGCCCTCCCACTGAGCTCTGTCCCTCCAGTCCAGCTCAGACTTCCATCTGATCACGTCTCCCTCCTTTTGCCCCTCGCGCCTTCCCCCTCCTCACCGTGCCCCTCCAGTACCTGCTCCTTCCGAGGGAAGAGACGAGGATGTACAAGGCAGGGTGCAGCCTTTTCTTACCAGAGCAGTAGGACGGGAGCCACCACCCCCCGGGCTGGAAACTGAGAACCTCAGGAGGGGAGTTGGCCTCACTGACGAGGGCTCGGGAGGAGGGTGAATCACGCGCTGGAGTTTTCCACCAAGTACCTGCCCTCTGTGGTTTCAAGGCAAGGCTCTGGACCTTCACAACCACTACCCTTTGCCTTGGGATTTTCCTAGAGAAAGTTCTCAGAGCATACCTCAAGAAGCCTAAGTTAGAAAGGACACAGGTTTATAATCAGACAAGACCTGAGTTTGAACCCCTCCTCTGTTCTACTGGTCAGGTCAGCTAGGCAAGGATCTGAGCCTCAGTTTTCCAATCTGTAAAAGGTACAAAACAAGACCTACCTACTTTTTATAGTTAGAGACAATATGGTAAATTGCTTAGGAGATTGTAGATGCTTCAGCGGGGGGGTGGGGGGGTCAGTGGTGTTTGCTGTGTGTCCTCTGGAAGTGGGGGCAGGGATGGTGTGGCGTCCGGTCCCAGGCAGCAATAATAATGCTCTGGTGACCTCTCAGCACTAAAGCACGTAACTGGGACTTGTCTGATTGCCTGGCCGCCATCAGTGGTGAACTGGTATTTGTTGAATGAACGTGTGTGGCCCTCTGCTATGTGCCCAGTGAGCTTATGCAGAGTGGGGTGCCCCTCACTGGTCCTGCACACGCCCTCATGGTGCTGGGTGCAGGACTGTCCCGTGGTCCTTCATTCAGAACAGCCAGTGGCTCTTTCAAGACAATGAAGGTAATTTCTCAGCCCCAGGTGGTATGGAGGGAGGGGGAAGTTGTGGGGAGAAAAGGAAATTTCCCTTTGCATGAGCTTCCCCTTCGTATTTTAGAACTTCCCAGTAGGGCTGGGGTGTGAAGTTAGAATCTCAGTCTGTAGTTTTCCATCAAGCAGCCCCACTGGGTGGCTCGCAGGCCCCTCACAGCATCTCCTGTGGGGTTCCCCAGCGCGAGAAAGCCCGAGTGAGTCTCAGTTCGCAGACTCCTTGCCTCTGTGAAACCAGAAGGCAGACGGAGGGTCAGCCCTGGCAGAGCCGTGCATGGCCCCAACCAGAATTCACGCTGCAGTTACCCCTGCCCGCAGCTGGGATGATATGACCTGCATTGCTGCATCTGTCCCTGCAAGTTGGGTCCACCTCGGGTCAGCCATAGAGCTTAGTGCAGCGGGGACACCAAAGTCCACAAGATACAGAACAGCAGCGGCAGCCTTTCTGGAACAAAACACCCAACCTCCCCATGAAGGGGAGCGAGAAGAAAGAGAATCAGACTAGGCAGAGGGGAAATTTCCCGGCTCATTCATTCATTCAAAAATTATATTTCATGCCTGCAATGTGTCGGGCTTTCCACAAAGACCTGGGGTTACATGTGGACAAACAGTCCTGCCTCCTCTCCTTCACCTTGTAGGAGAATAGCTGCCTTGTTGGTCCTGGACTCCTTTTAACTTTGAGCCCCACCTTCGTCAAGTCTCCCCTCGCCCCTGCAACTTCCAACCCCTAGTGGGTATTCAAGCCAATTAGTAAACTCCTGGAGGCCGGAGACGCCTGTCTTTGCAAAAGGTAGGAATCCCTAAATTACCTGGAAAGCCTACCTGAGACGGTTTCCAAACTGGGAAGGGCCCAGAGACAAGATGGAATATGGTTAAATGACTCAGTTATCTTGCTGCGGTGAGAACCGTGAACCCCATAAAATGGTCTCCTCACCACCTTCATCTAAGCCCATGCATGCCTTTAGAGAGCCTGGCATGGAACCTGCTTCCTGAGCATCTAACTCTTGTTCTACTGCAGCATAATTGTTTCCTAGACCGGAAATATCTAAAAGGTAGGGGACATATTTCCTAATTCTTTGTTTCTGCCTTCAACATTTAATACAGTGCTGGCTCAGTAGGCACTTGATGTTTATTGGATGGATGGATGGATGGATGGATGGATGGATGGATGGATGCAACTTGAGGGAAAAAATTGATCCCATTTTTCCATTTTCTGGAAAGGCCCTGCTCTCCCAGAATCAGGGGATAGATTAGGGCTTGGTGGACTCAGCTCCTGCTTTTCTTGGACAATACTGCTGATGCTGGGCAGGACCCTGGGACAACAGGATGCAGAGTTATTCTGGGGCTACCTCTCCCTTGCCCCCCACCCCCAGAAATGCCTAGCTCAGGAAACGGGTAGCCTTTTTTCTGGGCCCAATGCCACTTGATGCAAGGGGCTGGGGAGGCCAGCAGACTGCAAAGATGCCTCTGAACTCTTCCTGGGCTTTTGTGTTTCATTGATGGCCCAATGTTGTGGGGCTGGAGCCTTGGGAAAGAAGCTGGATTTGCTCAAATGTGTCCCCGTGGCAGCTCTCCCTACACCCTCCACTGGATTCCAACAACACACTGATCTAGGCCTTATTATTTCCATTTTATAGAGGAGAAAATGAGGGTTCAGAAAGGTGAACTGGCCCCAGGTCCCATAGCTAGTAGGTCAGAGGGCTCAGACCCAAGCCAAGACCGCAAGCCTCTATAAAGGAGTGCACTGGGCTGACTGTGGTGTGTTTGAGTTGGTGCACATTTATCTGAGGATAAGGAAGGAAGGACTGTGTGTCTGTGTGCACACGGATAGATGTGAGGCATGTGCAAGGTCTGAAGTATGTGACCCAAGGCTCCAAGGCAACCTGGTGGGCTCGGCGCCTCGTCAGTTCTTCCCTGTCTGCAAGGCCTCTGCTTGCAGCTCCGGTGAGCTGTGTCACTTCTCTCCGTTCAGCCATCACTTGCCCAGTGCCCCTGTGCCTGCCTTTTGTTATTTGTTTTTTGTTTTTTTAAGATTTATTTATTTATTTCAGAGAGAGAGAGAGCACGCGCGAGGGGTGGGGTAGAGGCAGAGGGAGAGAAAGCCTCACGCAAACTCCATGCTGAGTGCCAAGCCCAAGACGATGATGCAGGGCTTGATCCCACTATCCCAAGATCAGGACCTGAGCCGAAACCAAGAGTGGGATGCTTAACCGACCAAGCCACCCAGGCGCCCCTGTGCCTGCCTTTCTTCTCTAACAGGTGGGGCTGCTAGACAAGAGGGGTCCCCTTCCTTTTGTGTCTTCTTCCTCGAAGAACTGCAGGATCCAGTATCTGCCCTTCCAGGCAGAGAAAGCAAATGGGACAAATAGCAGCCCCTCCCCCACCTCCGCTAAAGCCGCGTCCAGGTATTCCTGCTCCCGTTCCCCGACCCCAACACTGACAAGTGGCTTTTCTCTCGCAGCTTTGCCTGTCACCCCCCTGGGTTATTAGAGCAGATCACCCTCATCCATCCCCCGAAACTGGCTTAATGACCTCACACCGCTTGGCACTGAGTGACTGAAAGGGATCTCACACCCATGACCTCATTTGAGCCCTACAACAACGCTGTGTGCAGGAGGGGCATGGTATTCCCTCCATCGGAAACACGTGAAGACCTCAATTGTGTGTGACTTCCACAAAAACAAGTCAGGAGCAGGTCAGGGCTGGGCCCTGCATCTCCTGAGCCTCAGGCCAATGGATTCTTTTCACCCTATATTAATGAATCTCCTAACTAGGATTCGAATGGCCATTACGGAACTGCCCGCAGGCATCGCCTCCCCGGCCTAACAGCTGCTCGCAACTGTGGCCACATGGCTGGAGATACAGCCAGCGCACCCTCAGAACGGCCTTCCCAGCCCACCCCACCTAAACCAGCAGCCTCCTTCCCAGACCCCAGTCCCTCCTCGTAGTACTTTGCTTTCCCTCCATAGCATCGGCCACAATTTTGTTGTTGCAGAAATTCTATTTTTGTACCCCGTAACACAGCGCCACATAGTAGGTGTTCTGGAAATATCGTCAGATGGATGGAGATGCCAGGTTTCTCTCGCAGATTTACTTCTCCCACCTACGGCTGTGACTGAGCCTGGCACGCTTGGGGGATGCCCAACCAGGCGCTGTCCAGGAGGGAGCAGCCAACGCCAGCAAACAGGAGGGCTGCGACCACTAACTTTGGTAAGTTCTCCAAACAGCAACCAGAAAATCAAAACCGGAGGACTGGCAACGATTTCAGTGCCCTTTCCCACTAACTGACTTGTAAAACAAACCAGGGAAATCGCCCAGGGAGTGCTGGGAGCCCTTGGTCTGCAGCTCTAAGCATCGCCAATGCTCCCCCAGACACCAGCAGAAGAAGGACCATCCGAGCAGAAGGGGGGACACAGGCAGATACGGAAGCCTCCACACGCTCAGGGAGAAACGCAGCTGTGTGCGTTCGGGCACTTACACACACACACACACACACCAAGAGGTAAGTGTGCCCCAGCTCCACACACAGAGGCTGCAGACACACCTGTGGCATCCTCTGGGGATCCCAGGCCACGCCCACTGGCCCCGAGGTAGGACAGGCTTTGCCTTCCACCTGGATCCTCTCTGCAGCCTGACCGCAAGAGCTCCTCTGTGCAGCTCAGGCCCTGACCTTGAGCCGGGGTCATGGCAGTGCCGCCCCCTTGTGGCCACGTCTAGCAGCACCGCATCCGGCATCTGTCCTGAGCAGAAGAACGAGGTGGTCCCGAGGAAGTGGGATCCCTCTGCTGGCTGAGCTGGGGTAGTGCCCGTTCTGCCAGGGCTTGTCGCACCTGCCGCCTCAGGTCAGCAGTCACTGCTGTCCCCCGCGTGCCCCTGGCGCAGGCCCTGGGCAGGTGCGCACACACCGTTTTGGCAGGTGGGGTCAGGGAGGGGGGCGGAAGGGGAATGTGGGCGGAAAGAAGCCCGACCACACTTTCCTCTTCCTTCCTCCAGCTAGGGCTCAGGTCCCCCTCGTGCCCACCTCCGTTGCCCTGCTTATTCCGCTGAGCGAAGGAGGAGGGAAAGGGCTCTGGGGGGAGCATGGACAGAGTGTGACAGACCCCTCTGGTGTGAGTGTCTGAAGATGGAGGCTCTCAGCTGGGCCCCGCCGTCCTCCCCGGCACCACCGTCCCCTCTGCTCATGGGCCACAGGAACTCAGTGAGGAAAGGAGAGCCAGAGAGGAGGCAGGGGGCACTAAGCCACAACTTGAAAGCGAGGAGGTGCTCAAGGCAGCCAAGGCAGAGGGGCAGGAACCAGGCGGAAGAGCTGGCCATCGGTGGGAAGAACATGGATTTAATGGAATGAAGGGTAAGAGGGACTAGGCTCTCGCTCTACCCACCAGCCCTCACCCGGCCTCCCCAGGCCTGTCTCAAAGGGGGCGCTCTTGATACCAGCATCTCACATCTGTTCGGCCACCCCTGGAGCAGTGAAGTTCTGGTGGGAGGCGCCCAGGCCCAGGTGGATTCCAAACTATCCCCTTGCGTCTCATCTACCGCAGGTGGAGACAGAGACGCACCGTGGAGCCACTTCGGCAGCCGTCCCCACAGCCAGGCCCATGGGCACGATACCGGGCCCGGCGGCCCTAGCAGTGAGACTCTAGTTCTGTGAGTATGAGAAGCGATGTCTTGGGTGTGGCAGGGGCCGAGGGTTCTGCTCGCTTCCATCCAGGCAGGTCCTCAGCTGGGCACATGAGCTGGCGAATTCTCTGCAAGGGAAGTGGAGGTGGTTATCATGAGCTGGCGTCAGGCTGCCCGCTTCCCCGATTGGCTCACCGGGGTCTGCCTGCCGCCCCCCCACACGTACCCTCCAGCTGCCAGGCCTTTCATCCCAGCCTGTGGCTTGGAGGCATCAATCTCTTTCTGAGACTTGTAAGCACTCGCTCTGTCCCTCCCCAGCAGCCTCACCAGGCTCAGTGGCGCTCCTGTGTACCAGCTCCTACGCTGGTGGACATCTGTCTATCCTCATGGGGCCCTACGTCATTGTCTTGGGTTCCTGCCCTTCCCCATGAACCCCCTACCTCTCTGAAGGAGCCCTTGAGGGTGCCGAGTTTATAGAAGCTCCAGGCAGGAATGCAGACCATGGAGGACAGAGCCAGGAACCAGCCCAGAGCATCGCCCCACCACGGGTATGTGTACTTTTTGTTGTAGGTCAGCGGGGTGTACTTGATCAGGGAGAAGAGGAAGGTGGCCTGAGGAGGAGAGTAGAAGAGAAAGGGGCTGGGAGAGCAGGGGCCTTGCGCCCTCCATGACCCCTGGAAGAGCTCTCAGACATCAGTCACACTGCAAGCCTGGACTGGCCTCCAGGCTCGTCTGGGTCAATCAACCCCCAATCCCCATCCACATTTTTCTTTTTTTTTTTTTTTAAGATTTTATTTATTTATTTGAGAGAGAGAATGAGAGAGAGAGAGAGCATGAGAGGGGGGAGGGTCAGAGG